TGAGCCACATGAAGCAAACCCTTCTGAATCAATACAATTATTTTAGTCTCCCATCCCCAAAAGAACCAAAACAGACAAAACACACCACCAAACAAAAAACCCACACACTCACAAGCAAGCTATTTCAGTGGTTCAAAGGCTTCACAAACATTAAGAAGGACATATGCTTATGAGAAGAAAAGGCTACACAGACTTTTTTTTTTTATTAACAAACAGAGGCAAGTAGAAGGAGAAGCTTTTGCTCCCTTCCCCCTTCCAGGCTGGCTTTCTTATAATGGGAATGATTGTTCTCACTGTAAAACATTTCTTTTTATATAGAGACGAAACCTCACTCCTGATACAACTTGTACCTGTTGCCCCTTGTCTTGGCCCTGTGGTGCCTTGTGCAGAGAGGGTCTCCATTCTCCTGCTCCACTCTGTGGCCTCTGTTCTAGCAAAAAGTTCCTGCATTACCATGGACAAGTTTATTTCTGTGCTAGCGTCTCATGTATACAATAAGAAAAAGCAACAGCTTTTCCCTAATTTAGAAAGGTATTATGAAATGCTCACATAGCAACAAATGTCATATAAATAAGTTAATAGCTGTAAAAATAAGTCAATATACACACACATACATATGTGTGTATATACACACACATGTTTATACACACACCCACTCTGTACAGGTGGTATTTTGCCCTGCACATTTCTCTATACTGTTAATGCAAATCTGTGGTACATCTAAGTGTATCTGGCAACATGGGAACAGACTGGACAGTCACACGGGACCTGATCTGACTAGGCTTTAACCATACCTTAAGTCACCTGTGCAGGCTGTGTTAAGATTCTTAAGTCTGATCTTCAGGTGACACTGTGTCTTCCCTTAAGTGTAAGTGTTGACTTAACTGGGTTTTGTAAATCCAGAATAAAAATCCCATTGAAGTTTAAAAAAAATCCAGACACCACAGTTAGGTAACAATATATCGGTTTTGATTTCTGTAACGTCACGTACTCTGTTTAACAAAGGCAAAAGGAAGAAAGTACATACACAAGTGTACTTATGCTCTAAACTGGTTGCTGATCAACTCGGTAGCAACGTATTCTCCCCCTCTACTCCGCTTTGGTAAGACCCCATCCACAGTACTGCATTCAGCCCTGGAGCCCCAGCACAAGACAGGCATGGACCTGCTTAAGCAGGTCCAGAGGATGGCCACAAAGATGATCAGAGGGCTGGAGCACCTCCCTTATGAGGATAGGCTGAGAGAGTTGGGGTTGTTCAGCCTGAAGAAGAGAAGGCTCCGGGGAGACCTTACAGCAGCCTCCCAGTGCTTAAAGGGGGCCTACAGGAAAGGTGGGGAGGGACTCTTTGTCAGGGAGTGCAGTGACAGGACGAGGGGTAACAGTTTCAAACTGAAAGAGGGGAGATTCAGATTAGACATTAGGAAGAAGTTCCTCACTGTGAGGGTGGTGAGACACTGGCAGAGGTACCCTAAGGAAGATGTGGCTGCCCCCTCCTTGGCAGTGTTCAAGGCCAGGCTGGATGGGGCTTTGAGCAACCTGGTCTGGTGGAAGGTGTCCCTGCCCATGGCAGGGGGGTTGGACTGGATGATCTTTGAGGTCCCTTCCAACCCAAACCATTCTGTGATTTAAGTCACAGTATCCATTGTACCACTGTATTTTTCTTAATTTTTACCTTAAGAACCCCAGTTTTCCTTTCGTAGTGTTTAGCCTACTAGCTGTACTTGCCTTTTGAAAGGAACACATTTCACTTTTTGTATAGTCAGGAATAACAAGAAAGAAATCTACAGATTTAGATGGTAACTAAGATGAAGTAGTTTCTCATAAATAAGAGTGAAGCAAGGGCTCTACAGTCCATGATGTTGGGCCTGTCTACTTCAGGCTACTCAGCAGTAGAAGTTCTACCTGAAGTGAGTTTTGAGGGAAGGAAATAGGGACATATGTTTACATCAAAAATTCACACAGTCCACTGTTGCATGATCCAATAGCTGGCCTTTTGTATTCAACAATATAGGCTGAGGTTTTTGTTACTAACATAAAAAACCCTGTCAGTCAATTGCTTAAAACACTTTGGGAGGAACCAAGCCAAAAAACCCACCGATAGCATTGTATTTTATTATATACTTAGACATACAGTCATGCTCACACATTCAGCAGTATCTCTAGTTTTATTCATCAGCTCTAAATATTTGATAGGAAAACACATTATTTATTAAGAAATGGTTATTAAACTACAACATAATTACACTACTGCTTTCTCTTACGTAAAAAAACCCAAGCAAACAAAACTCCCCCTGTGCGGCAAATTACTTCAAGTATATCATTAAATCCCTTTTCCCCTTGCGTTCTGACCTTTGACTGACATGCTTTGTTGCTTCAAGCTGTAGTTCTGCAAGAGTACTTCCAACTGCATTTCAGTAACAGCCACAGCATCACATCCTTCACTATGATTCACTGAAAATTGTATCTCTGTTTATAAAGGAAATTATGCTTCCACTGACATTTAGGTTTGAGCAAAATCTGTTTATTTATTTCAGTTCTAGCGTAGTAGCAAAAAAATAGTATTTGAAAGCCTATTCACATCTAGGAGAAGTGACTGCTTACACACTGAAATGAATTAAGCATTCATATTTTCAGAAAAACTAGTCCTAAGGATCAGGACTATCAGACTGCAAACAAAAAATAGTTAAAGTGAAAACATAACTTGAATAGTTATTGCAAACTATAATCTTCCTATTTTAGTTTAGTATTTTTTTAATAAATTGAAAGTGTAATTACTGAGGACGTTAGTTTTTATTTGCTAACTAGATAAGTATGCTACATCAATGCATATAATACTGCTTTAGTAGGACCACTGTTATAAAGTGCCATATTTACAAGTGCCTTTATAAATTAAAACACCCCCCAGAACCTTTCATTCCTCAAATTAAAGGCCAACCTGAAAAAAACAAAACATCCGAACAAAACCACATCCGTACCATTAGTCATCTCCAAATCTCTGCAACAGCGTTGTTTGTATGACTAAACCTTAACTAATACTACCTAACATTAGAAAGCAATCCTCACTAAAGCGTGAAACTAAATATTTCTCTTAATGCACTGAACACTAGCTACAGTGGTGTGGAGAGAAAGGGAAAATGTGTCACTCAATTTCAGTAAATCTCTTCCAACTACCCACAAACCACAATGCTTAACTTGTGCTTTTTTTCAGATCTGAATATAGTAAGAAATACAAAGCCACAAACTGAAAGCTTCTTTTTCCCTGTTGTTTAAACACACATACACACCAGACTTAGTCATGTTTCATGTTAAAAAAATTTAAAAAATAACATTTCAAATTCCTCCTTGGATCTACATAACATACTTGCCTATAAAAGCAACCCTGAAATTTAAATTTCACTTCTCCTAAAAACACCCTAAATTCTACCTTTATCTTCCTTTTTACATTATCAGTAAGAGCATAAAACAGAGTTTGCCCTTCCATACGCAAAGGCATTGGGCAGGGCAGCTCTCTCTCTCCCTTGCTTTATGGCCCCACCTATCAGGTATTGATCAGACTGCACAGTTATGTCTGGGCCACAATGTCACACACTAACAACAGGCAAGATGTAGGTGTAGTAGCTGGACACTGAAGAAAAAGTCTTATGCTTATGCATGAGACTTGACAAGTCTGCTCACCCTTCCTGATACCAGCTTGCACTCTTTTTTTGCCTGACCATCTTCACACCGCTAGCGTGACACACATGCTCCCCCAAAACATCCAGTCTCCCCATGAGGCACAACTCATTGTTATCTCGCCCACCTCCAGTGATCAAGTTAGCGAATCCCACCACGTCCCTCTGTCCTGTCTCAGCTATCTCTTCCTTCATTGTTCCCTATCCTTGCTCATACACAGCACCTACTTTCTCTGCACTGAAAGCAACTGAGATCTCCTTCATGACTTGCATTCAGACTTGGAATTTTGATGGAAATGTTGCCAAGTTAGCTTTCTAGTTCTATGGAATCCCAGTCATCATTCATCACCATTGATTAATTTCTACACTCCTAAAAACCCTGCCAATTCCAAAACTTCTACGAGGATTTTCTTGTGGAAGAGATGCAGTTGTTCTAAAAGAAAAACATTTACCTAAGACTCACCATAACAATCTTTCCTTCTCTTTCTCACCTCCTTCTCAATCTTTCCACCATAACAAGGACTTCTTACGTGCTTTCTACATGTTACCATGTATTTTTCTGGTCTCAACCTTCTCAATTACTTACTTACTCGTAAAGATACGGATTAGATTTACAGCATTTTTAGTAAGCTGTAAAACAAAGAAATTGAGCCTCACTTGAATCTAGCTTCCCAACACCAAGTGCTCCAACCACCAATCAAGTGAAAACAGAGCAACCACCTATCTCCCAGCTGCTCTAAGGAAATAACTCAGTTCTGACTTGAATCCTATTCTGTATTTCTGTTATTATTATTACAAACCTTTCTGTTATTTTTATTACAAACCTTTCTGTTAAGACATGTTGTTATATAGAAAATATTTAAACATTGTCTGTAGTGGCAGTTTCACCTAAAATTCAGAATGGACTCTGAATCAGCATTGTAAAAATCAAGCCCTCCCCTGTTTCAGTTGTCTGTACCAATCACTAGCTTGAAATTAATTTCTCATACTCTCCTCCACATAGTGAGGTTATTCAGTCTTAATTCCCTGTAGGTTTTTTCCCCTGCTTTGTAGACTAGCTCAGCTTTAAAAAAAATCATTTTAATTTGAGAGCCCATACCCAGTTCCTCTAATGGTACTGCCTACTTTATCAATGGCATCATCATTTTCTGATCTGAGCATTTTATATAAAGAGAACCAGAAAACATGGTACTTGCAAAACTGTAAAACATTCAAATACCAAAAAAAAAAAAAAATTTCCACATAAGTACAGATACCTATTATTTTAGCCATATATGTAAATGTACTTGTTGGAAACAAAATAAATTCAGGAAAGCATGATTTACTTACCTTTGAGAGTTCCATTCCAGGTCCACACTGCTTGCAGAGGATACAGTTTCCATTGTGGTCCCTAAATTCTTGCTCTCTGCAATCTCCAGTCTCACAAATTACCCTACTTAGCTTAAAAAAAAAAGTAAACTCACCAAAATATAGAATTACTTCATGATTAACATCTAATTCTAGTTTATATAAACTCTAAATCTGAGAAATAAATTAATGTTTCTATCTTAAAAATAACTTTCTGCATTATAAAAAACTTTAAATATGGCAATGAAAATGAATCATCTAACTCTAAATATGGGTAAGTGGCCAAAATTTCAAAGATTCCCAGTGACATATAATAATTTTACGATTTTTAGAAGACCTACTTGATGTTTGGCATCTGTGGAATGTTAAAACACTTAATTGTTTGAACATGAGTTTCAAGTTCCCCACCTTAACATTAGAAAAAATGCACATGACCATTTACTAAAGCTACAACTTTCATAATGGTAAGCTATGTCACATCACATTATATTGCTGTGTTTCATTTATTTGTGATTTTTAGTTTTTCTAATGATGCTACTACAACTGAATAATAAGCTAAAATCTATTCCTTTAAACATAAATATTTAGAGATTTCAAAAGGTCACCCAACCTTTTGGAAACCTAAAAAATCCAAAACAACCAAACTTGTATGAATACTAATTTATTCTAGATTTCACTATCACTTTATATTTAATGGGCCAAATGAGAGAGAACCCAATTTCTTCTTTCAAAGGCATTTAAGCACATTATCTGACCAAACCAGAAACTAAGGTTATGAGAAATACTGTAAGCAGTAATATCAGCCATGCAAAGTCTCAGTATAATCACTGGAATCCTACCCAGGAACATCAGCAAACCCTGTGAGCTCCCTCAATAGAATTTTAAATTAAATGCCTGCATAAAGGCTTTCATTACAGAAAGTGCTCTCCATGATTACTACTAAATTCTTACTTTGTGAATTCGTCTTTTCAGAAAGACCAAAGCCTTTCGATAGCTATGAAGTGTTAATTACCCTTAGTTCTAGAGCTTGTCTCTGCAAGTCAGAGTTGAAGTACACTTAGTAGGCAATGTAATTGTGTGCTATGCTGTGTTCTGTTGATAAATTGGATATTACAAACTCCTAAACTATATATATCACATACTGTACTAAGACACGGTCACTGCAAATTGCCTAGAATTCCTGCCATCTCTCTGAAGGGGTTTCACCTTTGCAGCACTATATTCACCTATATTTTCTGTCTTAGTCCAGTTCGCCTTCCACAAAGCGGCTCACATGGTAAATTTTTTTTAATTGCATGTGAGGAGTAGCAAGAAATTATACAAATCAGTAGACCAGGCTCACTTCTAAATTGACAGAAGTCTGTATGTAATTGTCCGTGCGCATATGTTTAAGACTCTTCGTGTTAGCAGTAATGTGTAAAGCAAAAGACATCATTCCTGTGACCAATGTAATTTTTTTCAACATCCATGCTGGGGAAGAAAAACTATTAATTTTTAACTTACCAGATATGCTAGTAAAATTATGAGCATCTTCAGTTTATCCTCTCCTTGTAATCTTTTAGCATCCATTTCTTACAATTAAACTTTTATCCCTAAGGAAAAAAAAAAGAAAAAAAAAGAAAAAGAAAAAATCATTATATTACACAATGTTGTTTAAATTGCAAAACTCATATGTCCATAGTACTTCATGTCCTTCAGCACGTCAAAATATATTATCTGTTAATGCCACTAAAATATTTCAGATGGATTGCTGGAAGCTAAACAACAAACATATGCTTTAAAAATCACTTTGTTTTTTAGAAGACAAGTCAATATACACAAAGTTTCTACAGCCTTAATTCTCAAAAGAAGAAGAGAGTACTATCAGTCTAGATTAGAGAACGTCAACATTTGTAAATCTAACAGCCCTAATACATCTTTCTTGCTTGTTAGATGCCCAACTAAGTACATGATCAACAGACAAAAAATCAATTTCTTTAAATATGCCACATTATCAACCAAGACATAGCTGATCACAAGAATGTCCCATCTGTGTTACAATGTGGAGCAGAATCGGCTTGTATGGCTAAAATAACCTCTTTGACTTCATTCTGCAATGAAACTGGAGGCATACACAGGATCTGTTTTTACCACTTACCTAAGGCATATTAACTTCTAAGGATGTGTTAACATGATTGTTTATGATCTGGTAGGCACAGACTATTATAGAAGACATTTAAAACAGCATAACCAAATCACAATTTTTATCATAATTTCAGAAAAAGAAGAAAGAACAGTCCATAAAGAGTTGCTCAGTCATTTTTTAAGAAATGGTAACAAACAAATGATTGGGAAAAAAAGGGAACTCTTTGAAACAGTCGTAGAAAGGACGTTTTAATTTTGGATTTGGTTTTTTGGATTATTAAATCAATGAACTGCACACCTATAATCATTAAGAATGTTGTGCTTGGCCAACAGAACATTTTTTCTCTGCTTACTTTCCTTTTGTTTATTTGTCTTTGTGTTTACTTCCGGTTTCTTACTTTTTGGTTTTGTCAGTCACCTGGAAATGCAAGTGTAACTTCTAGTTCAGAAATCCAAACTATATAGCAACAAAAACAAGAAAAGAATAAATAAATCTGGCTTACATAACATGCTATTTGAATTTGATCCTAATTTGCTTACCTTATACGACAGTAATATAATGTCATTGCTTTCAGCTAGATGCGAAAAATAATGTTTAAAACATTTCTGGTCTACTTCAGAGCTTAAGGACTCATGTTTAACTACACTGTTTCGAAAGACAAAATAAGTCATTTTTATCATTTAAGGGCAGAGGAGACTGACAAATGAAAGGATGGAACCCAAAACACTAGGAAACTAGTATAGAAAAATATTAACAATAGTTGCAAAAAGCTTTACAATATGGAACTATAACGAGCATACTACACTTCAAAAGATTGTCTAAACAACCAGAATGAGCATAAACTATAATTAAATCACAGTTTCACATTTTACTGCATGAATACCCTAATTAACAAATTCTAATCAATAAGAAGAAAGTATACTTCAGTGGCACTATCGATCTCTCAAGATAAATGATATTTTGAAGTGCAAAAAGAGCTGAAGTCTTCCAGGAAGAACAGAGGAGGCAAAGAGGTATGTCAGGCAGCACTCTACAGAAAAGCCAAGATTACATTTTTATGGTTATTTCTCACTTAGTGATGGTAATGGTCTACAGGCCAATGACAATTACCAGATTATATGCATGTCAACATGGGTAAAAAAGACGACATACCATCAAGTAATACAAATACAGTATTTGACATAGGTTGCTTTTTTAAGTCTCAGTTAAAAAAAAAAAAACCACAAAAAAAAAACAAGTGGAGAAACATGAAATGGGAAATTGCAGATAGAATTCTGGATGACCCAAATGTAACAACTTGATATAAAAAGTACTGTAGAACAAATGGAAAAAGAGAAAAGGAGAGTCAACAAATTTTAAAAGTTATAAAGTGCACAAGGTTGGCACGAGAAGTGGACAGTGCTAGTGCTGCAAAAAAATTAGGTATATAAGAACAGAAGTATCTAAGAACAAAACAATTTTTAGCTATAGAAAAGACCAAACAGTGGACAGGGACAGTAAAACTGTTAAGGGAAGTCAGAAGTTTCAAGAAATGTCTCTCATCTATGTTTGGAAAGAAACAAGATGAATAAAAACACACAACATATAATGTATCTTCTGGCTGAACAGCAACTGAAGACCTCCTAAGTAAAAACAGATCAGACAAAAGACAGATTGAGACTTTGTACCTCAGAAACCTTGAAAAGACCACCAAGAATGACTTAAGCGTGCTGCTCTTAAATCTTTATACAGTTTGGAATGCTACAGAAATTCAAGAATGCTAATGTTATGAAAAGATTAAAAAATAACTAAGAATAATAATACAATAAACATCTCTATACAATGTTGCAGAAACGCAGTCCCGCAAAACAAACTTGACTTCATTTGGTTTGGAGAAGACAGGACAATAAAGTCAGAAGTCTAAAAGCTAAATGATATAAACTGATTAAATGTGAATCCAATGAATCATGCTGAAACAAAAATGATTTGGGAGAAAGATCCCCACTGACTTCTTGATTTCATACAATGGTATTCAGTGGAAAAAATTAAATATTTTTATGCTTTCTTAATTGCTATTGGGGGCAAAACTTTATGTAAGTGTGCAAGAGAAATAAAGCTGTAAACGTGACTGAGTTGCTTAGAACTGAATGTCAAGTGATTATTCCAAGTCATATGAATTTATAGTCATTATATTCCTTTAAAATATTGTTAAAGAAACAAAATATAGCATAATTCCAATGTAATTATGATATAGGATACTACCAAAATTTTTTAAATATGGTTCTTTCTAAGGTATAAAGTATGTTTTAATTTAATTTTTAATATTTATTTACTATTTTATTAGTATATTATTCATATTATAATAATAATTTATTTAATATTTCTTCATATTGAATATATTTTTAATAATTACTTTTGCTTATGAAAATAAATGTGTGACATATCAAAAAAAAATTTAATATCATTATAATTGTATATTTTTATGTCGAGTTTCATGTAGAATTATCAACACAAACAACATCGGTGAGCTATACTAAGCCTAATGATCTAAAGTATGGAGCTGTGGCATAATCTAAACAGTCTATTTTTTCTGAGCAGGTAACCTGAAGTATGGAAAAATAAAGAAAATTAAGAACAGCCTGATTAACTGGTCAGCAGATGCAGTACTTGCCATACAATTGCAATAAAACTATATTAGCTTTATGTAACGAAGCCACATTCATCCTATACATTTTTCCCAATATGCAATAACTTGAAGATGTAATATTGTAAAAAAGTTAGCATATAATTTACTAAAATCAATATTGAGGCAAAGCTATTGATGTATTTTTATGTTTGTAATATTCTGGAGTCACAACTGCAGCCAGATCTTAACAGAAGGTAGCATAGAATAACAAGTAGTATGAAAAATGTTGCTGGTCATGCTGACAGCTCATGTTTCACTTCTGGAGTTCCCATAGCTGTTATAAGATGATCTTCTTATAGCATGTACCTCAAAGACTTTTAGAACTAGAAAGCACATGGAGAAGCATGCTGTACTAAAACACAATTTGTTGACATAGGTGTGGAAATTTTTTTGCACCTGTGAAATATTTTCTATTTAAAAGAAAATCTACTGCCTTTGTAAGACTCTTGCCAAACCCAACACCTTCAAACATCAGGAGTTCCAAAACCCAGAGGAAATTTCCAAAATCAAGTGTTTTAGAACTGGCATCAAACAACCACGGACTTCAACTCATCTGCACATTTTACTGAGCTTCAAATTTGTTGACTGATCATTATGTGTATGATGCTATCTCACACCTTTAGGGCTATGATATAGTGTGAGATATCTTCTAGATAATTTGTCTTTTATAATCATAAAATCTTCCAAAATAAGCTTGCAGGCCTATAGGCCTTAAACTTCAGTGCACTTCAGAAGGTTTAGTAGCATCAAAATATGTTCAAATTGTTTCAGTAGCCACGTATGAACGGCTGTGGTACTGTATCATGCAATCATTGTGCTTATTGTCCCAGTTCCTACCAAAAAAACCCCAAAGACTATGTACTGGCTACAATATATGAGAAAGAAATCAACTGGTATACAATAAAAAGCTATTCCTAAGAGAAAAAAAATGTTTCTCTTCATAACAACATTTTAATAAAAATAATGCAAATGGTTAAGGCACATTAATAACTCATTGTATTGAAAGCAAGTCCCAAAGGAGACGAATGGTGCCAGCTGCTTGTTTCTTGCTTCTGTCTCCAGTTTGCTTAAAAGCTCTGCTTAAAAAGCAGACACTGCAGCACTTAATAGTATGTTGCCATTGGGCAAATTTGTTCTCTCTTGATATCAAGTGGCAATACACTGATGTCTGTTGGACATGAGCCATTCTTCTCATATGCATTCAAGTAAGAAGTTACTAGAAGTTTTTGCGTCTAAAATACATGCAATTAAATGCAAACATTTAAAGAGTATTCTTGTTCAGATACTGATATTTAGAATGCTGAGTCCAGTTATCATCAAACGTATTAAATGAAAGAAAACTGTTAACGCAGTTTTTTGAGGTCAATAAATAATTCCAAATGCATTTTTTTAGTTTAACAGTAATGCGCTTGCCCAAAATACTCAGGGGAAAGCAATTATCATTGGTTAAGTACTGAACTCAAGATATAGAACTTCCATTAAGAAATGTGGTTGCACAGTTTTAAGGTTGTGTGAGGCCTACTACGCATATGTATAAAGAGGGCAACATCAAACAATAGATTAGGAACATGTAATAAACGTATTGTGGAAGTAAGAACTTCCAACCTTCCAGGGTCCTAGAATCCACTATCCTCCAAAATTTACTCCTACGTTTACTTGCTTGCCTGAGCAATAGTCACTATTCTTTTTTCAAAGCAAATCTGTCAGAAAAATATTTCTTCTTTCTCTCCAAAAAAATAAAGTTTCACCATGAAAGACATCGCCTCAAGACTGGAGGCAGCATCATTACATTGTGGCCTACTAG